TTTAGACCGTTCATGCTTTTCAGTATCACGGTAAGGTCTGGAGCCTAACCCATTTGAATCGGTGCGAACGGGAAACTACACTCTTGACAGCTATTGTGAACCACTAAAATGATCTGATATCTGTCGTTTCTGAGCATCCACCCAGTGTGATCACAAATAAATGAGGACGACGGTTTCAAATGGTGCCTCTAGATGTCTCTCTTCGCCCTTGTTTAACTCAGAAGCTGATTTTATAAGCCTTTCAATGTGATAAATTGCACCATAACAGTAAGAATCTGGCCGTGTTAATTGTGCTGATTAAACGATGAGAAAGTGGAGCGATAAACATTGGGGTCATCGTATACAAAGCTTTCTGTGCAGAAAGTGCATATGTGCAAATTTGAGCTGCAGTTACTTCTTTTTCACAAGAAATTCTACCTCAAGGGATAGTATGAAGACAAGGTTACTAAATTTATGTAGTGAATACACTGTAAAATTGCACCTCTCTCGTTTCTCTTCCCTGAAAAAAAATTACCGGTAATAAATAAAGCTAGGGGATCAATCTTAACTTGCAGAATAACAAACAGTATACAACTTTCGGCTTCTGCGCTTCCATTTGTGATAAAATCATATAAGAAACAAATGGGATTTCTCATTCGCTGCTCTATATCTCTTTAACCACAGAACTACATTCCTCAGATTGTAACATGGTAAAAAGAACCTTGCACAGGACAGGAATCGGAATCACATCTCATTTGTAACCTCATATGCCAGTGATGCAATAATGTTCCTTTACCAACTGAACTAGAAACGGCGCAGAAACAATCCTGAGGTGAGAGGTCAGCATTCATCACAGACATCTCCAAACAAACATTCCAACAAACAATCACTGACGGGACTGCCAGTGTTCTATCAAGCACGCACTAATTATGTCCGAAGTGGCCTCCCAACAGCCATCTCACTACTTAACCGCATACATCGTGTTGCAGCATTTAGAAAAGATTCCTGCATCATTTGCTGGATGATTTTGTTCTTTGTCTTCTGGGGTTCAGTGACGAGCTCTGCTCGCCAAAGAAGTGCATGGATGCATTCAAAAGGCCGGAAACATTTTTTGTGTGCCAGGCTGCCTTCCTCTCTTTGCTGCTGACCCACAAACAAAGCCAAGTCCAGCTCAGCCCAAGGCTTGTGCAGGAAGATAACACACCAGATAAACAATAAACAGGTTAGTTAGGGTTTATCATTTCATTCAACTTCTCATGTGCAAGTCAAAAACCATCCAAAGTCAACAAAAACCCAACCATAAAAACAGACAAAGTGACTATAAGGCAAAAAAAAGAAACCAAGTATGACTCATGAAAGCTAATTACTGACAAGAGTACATTTTAAGTGAGGACCACAGAGTTCAAATTTGAATTCCTAAAAAATCTGCTGTTTCCTTTCATGCTCTGAAACAGGAAGTAGAACTGTGGTTGTCTTCCATTCCCTTGTTTATTGGAACCCGGCCTTCCTGTTTTTAGATTCCCTGTGATAAAGGCTAAAAGTCCCCAGCTGAAGGCCCCCTTTGCATTCATACACATTTTTTCTTTACCTGTGGTTGCCATTGGGATGTTATTTTGTTTAGTAGATCTTCACATTACGAATGACTTTCAAAACTTTAATATTATCCATACTCATGTTACTTTGTACATCTTGTATACTACGGAAATAAACAAAACTAAGTATCTCATATGTAGAGACAGTAAACAAAAAACTGTGAGTTGGGAAAATCCAGTGAATGCGTGCGTGCGTGCGTGTGTGTGTGTGTGTGTGTGTGTGTGTGTGTGTGTGTGTGTCAATAATAGTGCCATGCGCAGGCTGGCCAGGGTAGAATGCAGGTCAGCACAGAGGGAATGTCTGGAATGTCAGGATAATTCAAACTCTTTTTGTTGACCAGGAGAGAAAACTGCTACCTGAGCCGGCTTAATGTAAAAATTCCAGAGGAAAAAAAAAAAAAGACCATTAGTGCTTAATCATTTGACACAAATATTTCAAACGCATTGGAGGTGCATTGAATTCACACACACACAGGAGTTGTCAGGCACAGCTTTAACCCTTTCAGGGACAGCGTTTACTTCAGTGGACAGCTTCTCGCGTTAACAGGTTACACTTACAGGGTGCATGAAAGGGTTAAACTGGGTTCCCAAGCACCTGTCCTGAAAATAATTAGGAATACCCAGCAGTTTTCAAAAAAGACACACATCTCTTGAATCCGGTTCCCATGCTTTGATATCACAACATATCTACTGCCATACACCCACCCCCCCGACCCAGTCTAGCGAACGGCTTTAAAGGCAGCCTGTTATCACTCAACAGCTTTGACAAAGACTGGTGAAATAATTACAGCTGGGCTGAAACTCAGCGAGTGTTTGTGTACCGTAATCTCCACTAGTGAGGACTGTGTCATAGGAAGGGGAGGAAGAGGTTGATTGTTCTGACAATGAGAAGTCAATGACATCATTTCAAAAAGCTCTGTTGAGAGTGTTCAACACTTGAGATAAATAGGCAATTGGCGATAATGTACACAGCTCAAACATCAACAAAAGTTATCATTTTAGACACAGGACACATCTCTAATCTTTCTCTCCGTTTGTCACCCGCATTCTCTTTGCCTCAAAATACATTCACACTCAATAAAACGTCTCACTTCATTTTATATTATGTCTCCATATTTAAGGAGTTTCAGAACTGTTTCATGTGTGCATGAGCCAGAGTACCGCCGCACAGTTTGGGGCGGAATGTCTTGTGATGGGAGGGAGCAGCAGGAAGACGGCTTGGGGTCCTGAGGAAGTGACTGAGTATGTGGAGGGAGGGAACTGGGGGAATGGAAGAGAGTCATGAGGGAAATCTGACAGCAGAAAGACAAAAAAAGACCAAACATGAAGACTGCATGTATGTACTGCATGAGAAGTGAAAGCTTAGCTGAAATATGTGGATATAAATGTTGCTAGAATTGCTTGCGACTTTTGTTGGATGACTTATGGCGGGGTATAGAATGTAAATCATCAAGGAGCAAAGTGCCTATAGCAGTTCCAGGACCAGGGAGCGAAATGAGGCTCCATGCGCAGCAAGGGAAGCATGAACACGTCGAGATATTTACATACAGTCAGACAGACTTCCTGGCATTGTCAGCCTGAGAGCATTGATGTCAGATCCACTCCTTCCTGTGCAGAAGGGAGAACGCCATGCAATGACAATGGGCCCAAAACAGGACAGAGAGGAAATGTTTAAATTTAGGTCCCTTCTTCCACCATCTCCTCTTTCTATCGGCTGCGGGGCTCTGGAGCTGTTTAGGTTTTGTGAATTCCTTCAGTTCCCCGACCCCCCGAACTCCCTCTCCCCATTGTGTCCTTTCAATGGGAGGATTTTCACATTCAAGGCAAATCCCAAAGGAGGATCAGCCAGTGAGACTAGAGTGCAGTCAATTACTTGTTTTCACTGACAAATGCGCTTGAGCGTCAATCTATCTCACAAATAGGCACACAGACAATCTTGGTTTCGGAGTTGATTGACTTTTGTTTTTCAGATGAAAGTAATACATAAAATGCTTTAAACTTAGATATAGTTTGTTTGCAGCTGAAACCATTTATTGTACAAACATTTGGTCTAACATATAGTACAGTACATATTTGCAAAATGTTCAATAGCTAACCAAAACTTCCACTTTACTGAAGTTAATAATTTTCTTTTGAAAGGTAATAATATAGTGTGTTTAACATTGAGATTGGCCGTACACTATTTGTATGTCCTTATTGTAGTTTTAGTTTAGTATTGTTGTTTTTACATCGTGTTTGTATGCTATACATAGAGGATAATAGTATTGTCTTCTTGGTGTATTTGCATTATATATTTCAGAGACATTACAACCACACATGCCCTTATATCATGTTGTTTGTTCGACACAGAGTAATATTGTGTTATGGTAATGCGTCAATGTTACACGTATTACAATTCGTTAGCAGTCAGAGTACTTCATTTTCTCAGTCCTCTGCATGTATCGCATTTAGATAAAACAGAATTGTATTTGACTGACGTAATATTGTGATAATTATTTGACTAAAATAAGTCTATGATAATGAAAATGTAGTTTTGCGGTGGTGTATACAAGCAACTGTTGCTCCTGATGAAGTAATCAACTGCATTACATTGGCGTGCACTACCATGAAGAGCTACATGTCGATCTATAGAGTGAAGTTGTTCCATCCCCCTACCCCCAATCTGTAGCTGAGATAACTGCAGTATTTAACAGATTTATCAGACCAGCACCCACTCGAAGATTTGTTCCAGAGTCCACAAATGACCAGAATTAACAGCACTGGTTATGCTTGTGTTTCTTTCTATGAATTGTTCACACACTAGTACAGGTATGTAGAAACAAAATACTGAATATAATTAAGATGAAGATATTTCTGTAGTATGGATGAATTTTCAAATGTACTGCCCCCGCCCCCCCCACCCCTCAGCCGCCGGTAATTGAGAACAATAAAGCACATAATTAACTTCTCAATTATATTAGGGCTTATAGTCGCATTCTTGACAGAAAGGAAATGCTTTATTTACATTGTTGAAAATTATGTTTGATGACTTTAGAACTTTTCGAAGAAAAGATAGTCCGCTTGAAAAACATGAACTCAGTTTGACGTTCCTTGTTTCTTTCAAAATGTTGTGGCGAACACACTGAACGCTGGTTGTCTAATACGCTTGTTTCGGGTTAGTTTGTTTACAATCACTTCATCGGCTATATTCTCTACTGGCATGAACTAAAACGACTTGATTACCATACACGAATAACTAAATCACTTATGTCACTATTTCTGTAGTTTTCAACCGATTTTCTATCGACAGTGTTGAAACTATGCAAGTTGTCGAGTGACCGCCGAGTTTTATTTCCCAGTACTGCGTGCGTATGCGCTCTCGTGTGCGCGTGCACAAATCTGAAATCACCGCGCAGACGGGCGCGCGTGCTCGCAGGCCAATAGTTCACCCGTGTGTGGCTTAACTCACACTGTTGCTTCGGTCAGTCTGACGCGGGCGAGGTTTTGTTGTGTAAACCGAACAGGACAGGATCTTGTCGGCAGTCGCTGCCTGCTCCCGAACTACTGCTTCTCTCATGGATGTCAGCTAAGTCGCTCGCAGACAGCGGTATAAAGTTTAGCGTTTGTATGAAGGTCGGAGATTTGAATGGATTTAAGGACTCGAGCGACAATGCCATCTTCACCAACGACTGGGAAGTAAGGAAACAACTTTAACTTGTACTTGCAAACCTCAGTGTGGTTCGTGTTATGTTTGAAGTGACTGTGTTGAAGAACCTGCGTTTTTTTAAGTGGCCTCGCAGTGTCACTATACATCTGGGGAGTGTTGCAAAGTGTCCGACAAGTAGCTGGCTGGTCTTTCATAAATGGCTTCATATTTTGAATGTTAGGTAGTGTACATACGTTGAGTAATAATTGTGTTCAAGAACTGACAACTCGCCAGAAATTGTTCATAATTCCAAATATATTTTTTTAATTGACTGAATGATATACAGTATTTATGCTTGGGATTCTAATGTACATTATTGTCTAAATTATTATTTTAGTAACCACGTTCATTCAAACAGTCATTAAAAACCCTTTCGAAACATTCACAGGCTTGTTTTGCACATGATGGTGCCATGCCTTAAATACGGTACATTATTAGTGGAATTATGATACGTATACTTTAACTATTGCAGTTCATTTTCTTAGCATCAGTTTTCTGAAGTAATTTATTTGATGTTACCTCCTGCGTCGAATAACAAGACATAGCTGACGTGTGGGTTTACATGACAACTGTACATCCTGGTTTAAATGAACGAGATGGTCCACGATGAGCGGATGGAAGAGGTAGATGATTATGGTTGTTGACAAAAAGTACTTTTTCTTTCTTTTTTGTCAATTCTTTTAGGTGTTGGTGAGAGAGAGAAAATAAGACACGATGGTCATTGGAGTCAATAGCTGACATTGTGGAAGGAGAGATGATGGAGCAACTAGACAATCCTACCCCTGAGAGTAACAACCCAAATGGGTTTGTGAATCGAGTATTTAATGTTTCTCTGGATGTGGAGAATGAGACTGGCAGCGTTTATATTAAAGAGACTGGGTCAGGGCCTGAAGAGATGCAGGGTGAGGCCCAGGCCCTGTCTCAGGCCCCTGTCAAGGACAGACAGGAGGTCAACCGGCGACCCCGTGCCACTGGGGGAATTTGGAAGATCTTGAATCGGAAGAGAGGTGTCTCAGAGCTGGAGCGAAGACCCCACTCTATGATCCTCCTTGGGGAAGCTTCTATCCCTAAACTCTCATTTGCTGATAAAGTTCGCTCCTTCAAGAAACTAAAATCCCCTTCTGTTTTCCGAGGGAAGTCTGGGAAATTGTCTAGTGTCAAGCTTAGCAGCTCGTTGGTGGATGAGGACTCCTTCTGCAAAGACATTGGCACTCCACAGCAATCCAGCAGGGGCACCCTGAGGCACCGTGGAAAGAGGCATTCATATGCTGGCTACACAGCAGAATTTGACTGTTCTTTTGAAGACATTGACCTCCCAGCTCCGATCGATGACCATCAGCCCACTGCGGTGCCAGAAACAACAGTTCAGAACGGTTGTAAACCATCGGAACGAGTTTCCTACTCAAAAAGAAATCACACCAATTCAACTAACTGTAACAAAGCTACATGCTGTGAGGAGGAGCTAGCAAAAGCTAGCAAAAGTACTACGCAAGGTGCAGGGAGGCGACACAAAGATGTGTGGAGTTACCTGAGGAGGATCTCTCTTTTGGGAAAGACAAATCCAGTCTATTCAGAGAGGAGCTTTGATTCTGAGCTTCACTCTCTCGACAAGACTATTGACTCTGACTATGGTTCTGTTGACCTTGAGAATGCCAAAGACTTTCAAGCATTGCCTCCAAAAAATCCAGACATGAAAGGACACTTTGGTGGACTGTTTAAATTTTTCAATAATGTAGCAGAAACAGCCAGAAAATGGCGGACGACATCCCGCTCCTTCTCCCCTCCTGAGGAAGAGAAGACCCCAATCCGCTTGCCTCAGGCTCCTCGGTGCACAAAAGACAAAGTTCACGGTGTGCCCCTAAAACTCCACGGTGAAGGACTTCTGCAGCGTCAGAATTCTCAATCCTCACCATTGACCACTAAATCCTCAAAATCCAGTAGCTTTACCCGTGAGCTCCCAGCACCTGTGACAGGTGAGGGATCTCCGAATGTTGTCTTCAACGCTTTTGGGCCATCAGTGTCTGGAAGTGTGAATGGCCTTCAAAGCTCGAAGAGTACAGACAATAATACAGACACGGCAACAAACCACAGGTCCACCATTGTAGAGAATCATATTCCTCACTCAGTTACAAACACTGAGACTCTTGCTGAGCATGAAATGAATCCATTAAACTGTCTGCACCTAGGAGAAACGGTAAAGGAAGACACAGGAAATGATGAGGATTCCAAGGATGCTCCACCTGACTCACAACAGATACAGGAAGTGAATATTCAATTACAGATATGTGGTAAAGAGAGCACGACCAATAGCATACCATCATCTGATTCCACAGAGGAGATATTTAAGGTAATGTACATTATTTATTTAAATGCAGCTGTTGTATAAATAGTCGTATAGCATTATAGTAGACTATGTTTTCACTAAAGTCAGTATTATTGTGTTTAACAGTGATGCCATAACCTCATTCCAACGCAGACTTTTCCTAATCATTAACACTGCCAGAGGCATGCAATTACTGTCCATGTTCAAAATGCGGTTCATGTAACAATTTCAACCAGATACATTCATTTTCCTGTCACAGCAAGAGAGTAGAAAAAAAAAACGATCAAAGCTGTCATTGCCCCATGATTTCAGTCCTCCGAGGTGTGGTACAAATATCGGGCAGAATAAAAGCTTTCCATTCAACACCCTGGAGCTGACATAAATATGCCTCCTATTGTTGTGTTATCATGTAGCACCATCTGTTGGCAAAATGCGGTAGTAATTGTGATGGCTTTTGCCGTTCTAACCAGAGGCGGTTGCTCTTCCTGGCCCTGTCAGCCTCATGTGGCATTTTTCCCCAAGACGCTTGCTGTGGAACTCCCCTAGAGCGCGGTGATGTCTATGCTTCATAGTGGCAATCCTTCATTTTTATGTCCTCTCGTGAAGGTATTCGTCATGTCTCTGCCAGTCACACTGAGCCAGGACGTGCTCGCCCGAATCCAGTGAGAAATGTGATCACAATACTCAGCACAAAATCATAAGGGTTTGTTTTGCAAGAGCACGTGCTGTGAATTTTGTTGTTCTTGTACCGTCAGAATAGTCATGTTGCTATCTTGTCAAATCTGCCCATGTGTTTTCGCTTGTCTGATTTGTTTTAAGGGCCATTCCAAAAATTGTGTTTGCTATTCTCCGTTATTCTTTGGTAAATCAGGAGCTTGTGCAAAATATAAACATTTTAATTTATTGGGAATTTTCCCACATCCTCAAAAGGTAACACAGAATTGTCCATTCATCTGTCACAACATGAGGTACATCTGCGATTCTTTTCAAAATAAAATAAAGATAAATCACTTTTATCGCAATCAATGTTTTCCAACTTTTTACACCAAATATCACCTAAAATACATTTCGTTCTTCAATTACCACCATCATGACCGATGTTATGTAAAAGACAGTACCGTAGCATATTTAATGTTATAAGCCACTCCAACATTAGGCACAGTTTGACAATGCATGAACACTATAAGGAAAAAAAGACTCTACTTAAATAACAGTTAAATGAAAACGTATTGCACATTGCACATTAAGTATCATTAAAACAATATACCAGAATAAAACTGAAAACCGGACTGTTATTAAAGATTAAATGCAAATATGTTGTGCTGAAGAAGTAAATGTAACTAAACTGTGACAGTGAGTTCTTTGGCGTCTCACTGAAAGGTGCACTCATTGTACTATTAGTACCACCATTTGGGAATCACAGATCAAGATCAGCACCAGAATTTAATCAGTTCTTTGTTGGTCCAAGCACCACCCAGCCTCAGAGTTTCGTTGAATACTTTTTGCATAATCCTGATAATTGAATCAGTGCTATTTACTCTTACTATTGTGCTGTATTAAGTTAATTGTGGTCTACTCTGTGAAGGATAAATAATGAGGCTATTAATCATACCACAGTTTTGATTGCCATGCATTAAAGGGCCATCCATTTTCTAGCGCCTCGCCGGTTTAATGTTGCAGATGAGCTTGAGTCTATCTATCCCAGCTGCGTGTGAGCATTCGACAAACTACCCCCTGAATCGTTGCCCGTTGAAGGCACACGGGGAAAGAGAACAACTTACACTCAAATTTACACCTACAGTCACCTAGTGGGAATCAATTCCACGCTGACTGCACAAAAGTCACTCGTGTGTGCCTCTACGCCGCCAGTGCAGTCACCTGAAATAAATAGATCTATATTTGGTAAAACACACTTTCCGCAGTGGTTTCTGGCATTAATATACATATGACAGCTGATAAGGCGCAGACCCTCAAAACGTGATTAAAATCAAAGGTTTCTGACTTTCAATCAAAGCAAAGCATTGTATTTTAAAGGCACATGTTGCAAAGGGTCTCGTTTGATTTCAGCGCTACACCCAATGTCGTGTCCTGTAAGCATTTATTGTTGCACCTTGTGTCTGGGCCAATCCTCTGAGAATCTTTGCCAATCCCAGCTGTGTGAGCAGATTGCAAGCCAGACAGGCTGCAGTGTAAGACTGCCAGGCCCAGCCTTGCGCCACTCTAACACAGAGAAGACCTCTGTACCTCAGAAGCCGCTGCGCCCTCGTCCTCGCCCGGCATCAGCTGTATTGGATCTGTGGAGGCCTAACCCAGACCGAGATCTCTACAACGATTATAGTGAGTTTGGCTCACTATGCCGACGGAGGCACAGATCTAATCCCACCATGCAACACTCACTGGGGCTTAGATGGATGGCTGCTCGTCCCAGGCCCTGCTCTGTCATTGACGCCAGTGTTACTAGCACGATGCAGTCCACGGAGTTGCACGACAGAGTAAGATGTTAAATTACCACACAGGCATGTGTGCACCTTTTAACGAAATGTGGCAATCATATGCAAAAGTATTATAGATGTTTCTCCCCTAAGCACAGCATAAATGAAATGCATCCCCCTTCCTTTAGTTTAAAAAGATGCAAAAAGAGGTCTGAGTCCCACTTATTGTCTCTCCCACTTCCCTGATAAATAGAGCACAAGGCCATAATGAATGAACACACGACAGATGCAGAAGGTCAGCCTGTTCCTAACCCAGTATTTACTGTATACACTCCTCACTTTTAGCTGCAACAATGCAAGCATGCTGCGTCCCATTTATAAAGGAAGGCCTTTATTTCTGGACGCTGCTTTTCCACCAGCTCACATGCCACTCTCACTCTTCTGTCTTCCCCTTTGTTGCCTCTCTCATTTTTCCTCTATGTCCAATTTTCTGCCTCATTGCTCCCATAAGTTCTCCTTCTCGTTAACCTAACTCAAAGACCGTTCGTTTGAACCTTAGAGGCTCCCTGGCTTGATGGACTGGGTAGTCTGACAGTTTGCAGCCAGGCGTGCACCACTAACACACATGGCATGCTGGATGCAAAATACTTTGAATTCACTGAACACAAGCAGAGAGGCAGGATTTTTGGTAGCGATGTTGAGTACGTTCAGCTTGAGTATATATCAAAGCACACCTGCGGGGAATATAGGAATTGTCCTAACTCCTGAGTACCCTGTAGGCCTTGTCTCGCCCTCCTGGGGTGTCTCCATTAGAACCGCCCCTGAAGGCTTCTCTGCAGCGCTGCCGCTCCCTACCTCTGCCCCCCGGTACTTTAACGACCTTGGCTCTTCTCCTGCCTCATTCAGGTACTACGCTACGCCTTGATTTGCTTTTACATTTATGAAGATGTTTGTTTCATGACATGGGATCATCTTTTGCCCACGTTTCACTTCTCACTTATGTCTGTCCAACAGATGTGGGTCAGTCATCAGCATCATCATCAGTACGTCTTCGGTCTGAAGGCAGTAGCTGCAGGAGGAAGAGGCTGCTCCGACCTGGGTCTGAACCACTGCAAGTCAACGTTGTAAGTCGAGCACAACCAGCAATAACACATACAGCTTTGCTGTCTCGGAGGTTTTGAAGTGCCGTCGATAGATGCAACAGTCTACAATGAAACCACAAAAGCCGAACATACAGACCTTCCTGTTTGTTTCAAATTGTGCACATTTTTTCCATAAAATAGTTGAAATTAATTGGAAACTGATAGTTCTGCTGTTCCATCCCCGTGGTTACCTGTGGTTTACTACTGGATCAACAACACATAATCTCCAATTCACACTCCATTAGGACACGCTTCTAATGTGAGTGTGCATGCTTCGTGTAGATTCCGTTGTATTGAGCCTGGTCCATATTTTGGATTCATTAGCAAAATAATCATTATGATTTATACAAAACTATTATTATTATTATTATTATTATTATTAAAGAAAAAGATACACACACTCCTATGATGCTGGTTGACCGACCTCGAGCTTTCACGGGTGATTCGTTCCAAGCAGTCAGTCCCGCCACCCCACCCGCAATAGGTGAATTTCTGCAAAGTAAGAGTTTGACCTCTTTATAGCGCGGGGAGTTACACCTCTATTAAGCCATTCCGAAGGCACTCACGATGAGAGAAATGGAATGTTGGGGGTGACGGGGTTTAGGGAGCATTCAGAAATACGCTTTGAGTAGGCACTGCTACACTTCAACCGTTCGGAAACTCATAACGTTGTTCAAATGTGCCGTTCAGTTATCCAGAGAGCACCAAAAACGGAGTGCCGGTGCGTGTTCTAGGCACTCCAATGGGAAACATGGTGCGCTAATGCGTCAGGCAGTACAGATGGAAACAGTTCAAGCACCAGATGCTGATTGGATTAGAATGTAGGCTGCGTTCAAAAAAGAATGAGAAGATAGCGCGCTCTGCCGCTCTGAATACGCACAGTCTCAGAGCAGTGCAGAGGCATCAGAGTGAATTTCTGAACGTGTCCCTAATTTCATGGTCTCTGTTTTTGTGAAACAAAAAAAAATTGACATTTCTTCACTGGTCTGACTTAGAAGGAAGAAAAACAGTAATCAACCCACAAAAATATAGTGAGGTAAAACTACAATAGATGAAGTCAGCGTAATAGAGTGAAGCCCCAATAATTGAATTGCAAAGTTGCGAGGGAAGACTGTCCTGTATACCAAGAGGAGATCTTGTGTAATGTAGTGACATGCCACATGACATCATGCATGATGACTTTGCATGCCTTTGATGCATATTGTTTTCCCCCTAATTCTTTGGTTTAAGTAGAAACGTTATCACTTTTAGAGCATTTTCACTGACCACCGTACTGAACATCAACAGGCGATGTAGGAACGAACTGTGAGTGTGCATTCATTTGGATAAATGATCCCTTCTCTACATGTTGTAAGATGGACATCACACGGGTCAAGCCACTTACTTCATCAACAATGTAGGAAATGATGCATGAATGTGATGAGCGTGCAAATTGATTTCATCCGATCTTCTCAAGCCTTGACTCATTTTAAACTAGGTAAGTAGGCTGAAACCACGGCTTAACACTTGTATTTTCGATAGAAATGCACAGGCACAGGTTATTCTCAGCATAATCTTTTCTTTTTTGTTTTAATAATCTGCACATTACAATTATTTATTTTTTTTCTTATTTTAGATACTTGATTGATCCTGAAGGAAATTCATGAACAACGGTAACTTTGCTTATTACTGACATGAAGTGTGTAACACTTAATATCGGTTTTATTATTGACTTGAAATGAACGTCATCTCATGTTGAAGATAGTTTCCGTCTTTCTGTTACTCTGCTCAAGTCTTTGATATTTAAATAAAATTCGCTTCTGAGAAATTTAAAAAAAAAAAATCAGGCAGCAGAATAGGTGCTTTGATGTCTAAGTGGCCCTGGGGGAATTCTTGGTTAGTGGATACAAAGTGGGTATACAAGTAGGTGTGTGGCTGTATGGTGGTGGATGAAGGGGATGGGTGCGGAGAGGCAAGGGCAATGTGATAGAAAAAAAATTTTGGATTCAAAATTGGGAGAAGTGCAATGTAATCTAAATTATCCCCATCCTAAAATGGGTTATGAATATTTATTTGTTAATTACCATTGATATCGATATTTCGTGACCTCAATCAAGAATTGGATTTCTCAAATCTCAAAAATGAATTAAGGATTAGGAGGACTTGATGTGAAATGGTGTTTGCAAACCTCTGCACAACGTTGCCATGACACTGGCTGTCTCGAGCTCATCTACTTGCTTCTATCTTTAGGGAGCCTTTTTCAGAAAGGCCTAAAAGAGGACCGTGTGTGGGTGAGAGAGAGAGCGAGAGAGAAATGGGGACGGGAGAGAAAAAGAGAGGGAGAGGGAACGAGAGATATTTCCTTTATTGTGCGAATGTTTGTGTCGTAGCATGCCCGAGGGTAGGGGCATGCACCACTGGAAAGGTCGTTGAATGGTGAGAGACATTAATGTGAAGCATCCGCATATGTTACACGTTTTCCAAGTCTTCTATCAGCATACATGGATTTAGGCCAGTGGTCCTCAACTCGAAATGCTGTAGGTCCACTTTTTTTTTTTTTTAATAAGACCAAGGTCCGGTCCCATGCACGGCGGTCATGGGGAGCAGGGCTATATGCCCATTTAGTATGGTCAAGCCAAGCTTATACAAATCAACACTCCTCACAACCAACCAATAATGGGGTGCATGAAAATAACAATTATTCACTTTGCCAGTACACAGCAAATAATGAGAGGTATTGTGTTGAGGCACAGGAACTCTTTTATTTTGTTAAGTTGTGCCTGCTTAATAATAGAAATAGCCCTTTTAGGGAAATAAGACATTTTTACTTTAAATTTGTTGAACAGTAGTTGTCTTTTTTCCCCTTAATTTAACAAAAACAAAACAAAATACTCATTTTTACCAAAATAAATACTAAACATGAAAACAAGGAGCACAGGAATGTGCAGTACTGTTCTTCCACTAAAGGTGAATGCAATGTCTGAGGCATGCAAATATTATTTGAGGACGCCATTGTGATGTTCATTCACCATGTTGCGGTGTTCTGCTGTTAAACAGCTGCAAAGATCCCCGGGTAGACGGGAGCAAAACTGCACACAATCGAAACCTCCCGCGATTCGACTGTGGCGTCGCGCATGCGTCTGTTTCCTGACACAATCATCCATTTTGAAAGCGTGTGTATTGGGATAGACGCGTGCTGACGCTTATGTATGGGCACACCTTAAATTCAGAGGAGCCAATCAGCGCATCGTTATCACCGACCTGCCCTGCTCAGCCAGGGTCTCCACTCCAGTTAGTCAAACATGATACAACACACAGTCGCGCTGCTGCGGTCCTCTGCAATACATCTGTTAGTGCACGCAAAGAATACAACGGATAATTTTAACAAGCGATCGCGGTAATGCGTAGATTATAGTCCACAAATATAAAATGTATAACGTAAAAATCACTTTATAAATTATTATTTTATACAATTTGCCGAGGGTCCGGACAGAGGAGGTCCGGACAGAGGAGGTCGGTGGTCCGGTAGTGGATCGCGGTCCGCCAGTTGAGGCAGTTGGATTTAGGGTTTAGTGAAAATCTTTTAGGTGCACTACGGTGTGTGTTACTGTTTCTGTAAGGATGGCTACTTGCGCCTGGAGGCCGCAGGCAGAAGGAATGCATTATCACTGCAGTGGATTAACTGCTAATGCTGACGCCTCTCTTCTTCATTTCATTTAAATGGATTTCTCCCCACTGCCCCCTGTCCTTCTTCTTTCTCCTGTCCTCGCCTCCTCTCATTCAGATTGAGGGGACGGTTTGCTGTGGTTTGGTACTGACGCTGTGATAGCATCCGTACTGATGAGTTGTGAGAGAGGCAAATTCATTAAAGGCTTCACGCTGATTAAAACTTAAAGCCAAAATTTTACATGATTAAGTGTAAGACCAAGTCGGGTATGTTGGGTCATAATCATATTATGCAACGCTGTCTATTAATTATGAACGCATGAGTCAGCAGGCAGTGGTGAGTTGGGCAAAGGGGAGGCCAGTGATGGAAGGCGCTACTTGCGCACGCAACGGTAGGCACATGCTGGGGCACCAGTTCTCATTTATTGACTTTGCTCTTTCATTATACAATATTTTAATTGCTGTATTTACAAGAAACAATGATACATCCTTAGCACAACACGCTCAGATTTCTTTTTTCTGATGTACCGTATTCCAAATGCATTCTTTAGGATTGATGATGCATTCCACCATCAATGTTTTAAGAACAATGTATAGCACCAGGTTATGATGTCTTTGTCTAACAAGGTGATTCTTAACCTTCTTAGAGGTACCGAACCCAACCAGTTAATATGCACATTCACCGAACCCTTCATTAGCGAAAAGAGAATATACTGTGTGTGTGTGTGTGTGTGTGTGTGTGTGTGTGTGTGTGTGTGTGTGTGTATGTATATATATATATATATATATATATATATGTATACACAAATTCAAGATATTTTTAAAAACGCATTTATTAAAAACAGAAAAAACGAAATAAAATTTCAAGAGATAATGATACTTTTTTTTTTGTACGACGTACTATCACGATAGTCACACGTGGACTACTACGTGAACTAAATTTCTCACAGCACTGATTGGACAAGCAATGTCATGTGATCATCTGCAGCCAGTGATGGCCAAGTGGGCGTGTCATAACTAATTGACACGTTGAGTCACGTGTGTCTCACCCTAAGTGGCAGAGGTTCCGACGAACCCCTGAGACCGATTCACCGAATCCCTGGGGTTCGATCAAACCCAGGTTAAGAACCACTGGTCCAACACCATGAAAGTATATCTATGGAGAACTGCAAACATCTGCACCCCAAGCCACGTGTGCTCTCGAACCTGTCACTGGTGTTTATTCAGCAATGCTGCTCTACCAAGGTGCAAACCCATATGCGCTGTGACTTCCTGCAGCCACCAGCTGTAACACTTCTGATAACGTGCTGCTGATAGAATCTAACCAGGTAGTTGTG